CTCCATTGTGTATATCTGCATGTGGTGCAAACTAGATGAGAAATGCATCTCAATGTTAGCTTCAAGACCTTGATTTATATTTGTCTGTCAGTGCATGTTGGCAAAGCTTTCTTCTGTAGCATGGTGTAATTGATTTACTGCATTGTTGCACTGCAGTCTATAATATGTGTAACTAAATCATATAGGCAGGTAGACCATAGAAACACAGGTGTGCATAGGAAAGTGCAACCACTGGGGCATTAAGAGTATGAGTTCATGTTATATAGTGGAAACTGCTAAATCAGTTCAAATTCTTTTCTTCTCTCCTTTTCACCTAATTATCAACCTGCCCCTACCTCATACCCCACCTCCCCACTCACCTTTAGTTCAGCCTCAGGCAGCATCTCTTTAGGCTGCTTTGTTACAAAGGAGCCGCTAGCAAGCTCCAGCAAACAGACCGGGGTTAGACTGCCAGTCCTAGTGAGGGATGCTGGATTTGTATGCAGTCTGAGAGGCTCAAAGCAGAGCAGGCCTACAGAAGAGCACATAGCATATGTAGTACTGTTCCGTACTCACTGTAAAGAAACTATACACAAGACAGATTTAATAAGTAAAGTTTCTGGTGAAATACATTTTTATCTGAAATGCTCATTTGGAGAAACAGTGATGACAAGCAGAGTAGTACTGTAAGTCAATGTACGCTAACAGAAAGATAGGAAATGGAAATCAAGAGGAAAAGTGCAGCAGGGGTTGTAGTGGGTCAGTGGAGAGAAACAAACAAGATGGAAAATGACAAAAGACTGAGATAAAGACAGTGGAGATTGCTGTATGTATCAAGAAAAACAGCATAAAAATGGAAAGTGACAAAAAAGCAAAACAGCTGTTGAAGAGCCATAAATTGTTTTTCATTGGCATGAAAGGATTTTTTGCATATCCCTATGTTGGTACAAACACATGCACTTCTTCACTTGGAGGTACAGTTAGCCACAGTGCTTCGGATCAAGGGTTCCTTGAAATAGCAATGAATTCAAGTGACCCCTTAAAGATGACCTAAACCCTGGTAGCTACACACGAGTTGGTGGTAGACTGAAAACCCTGAGGACTATGGTGCAGTTCAAAGAAGTCTCTGAGAGTACCACCATTCAAGCTGAAGCACCAGATTTTAACATTCCTGATGTTATTCCAGGCCAAGCAAGGCTCTGAGAAGTACCTGCAAAATTAAAGGTGCAGTTCCGCATTAGTGGCTGAAGCCATAGGAGCATCACCAAGGCGGCCTGTACTTCATCACTTTTTATGCTTATGTTCATGCACTCCAGAGGCAGGGAAGGAGGACCTAAGTAAAATCAGAACAGTCAGTGGACACACTGACAACTCCATAAAAGTAAAAGGATGCTGCAGGTAAGCAGTCATTTAAGGGTGCTCATGGTTTCCTATAGGTTTGCTGATTTCTAAGATGAGAAGCAGCTGCTGATTAAACTGAAGTTGTTATACTCTGCATGTACACACTCACAGAAGAGCACAGGTCACTGCATACACAGTAGAGACTTAGAGACTATTCAGGAAGCATGAGACTCTGTTTTTCCATCACTGTTCAGTTCAGTGTCAATACTCACTCATTCCAGTGTCAAGCAGATAGTGGTGTCACACTGGGCAATGAAATTTCACAAGTCAACAATACAGCACATAAAATTTGAGTACGCCTGCTAACCTGACCGTTGTTGAAAGTTTTATTTGTCTCGAAAACAAAGGCACAATAAAACAGCAAATGAAATTGGGATTAATGTTGTCTTTACCCCCCCCCTTCTACTATGCTCTGTTGATTAGTCTTTCTCTCCCTCATTTTTTTTAACCATGACAGCATTTTATATGTTTGTTGACTAAGAGGATAAATGGAGAAAGTGAGACAGGTCAGGCCAACTGTAATGTACAATAAAAAAACATATACCTATAAAGTAACTGCAACTTACAGATGCCTTTGATGTTGCTGTGTAGTAATGCAGTGAGCAGAGCTAAATGTCTTCTTCCATCTTCCTGCACATTCACGTGGGGTCAGGGCAGGTATGAACCTTAAAACTTTCTGTTGTTGTTATTTTTTTCATAATACCTGGCCCCTGACACAAGAAAAACAAAAAGCACCCGATGTAGTCTATCACACACAAAAGGATACCGTTTCAAACCTCCACCCCTCCTGCTCTCTATATCACTTTCTCTCCCCCCTGAACATGTAGCCTCCAGAAATATCACCTGGATTTATTTCTGAGATCAATAGAAATAAAGAAGCCGGTAGCTTTAGGGTCATTTCAGCTGCAAGAGGAGTTCTTCATGAGTTTAATGGTACATTCAGCCCCCGGAAAGCAGATGGATTAATTCTCAAGCTCCTGTACACAACAGTGCTGCTATAAAACGCAACCCATTGTTTTCTCTAGCTGACGAAAGATGATGACTTTCTGCTTTGATGGATTAAATGGGTTTAACAGGGTTTCTACTCAAATACAAAGCTGGCAGCAGTTAGAACATATCCTCTATGGGCACAGAGCAGGAAGCCTCATTCTTTACTTCTTTACAAAGGATTTTACATTATGTTAAATACATTTAAATTACACTGCATTGAAGTACTTATAATGTTTATCTTCCAGTTTTTGTTAATGTCTCACTAAATTTCCTCCTCCTGTTAGATTTTGTCTACTTGTCCAGGCTTCTCCTGTTTCTCTTCCAGAGGACATTCAATGACTCATGCGTTGTCCCCTTTCTCTTTCTTTCTTATGGATGGAGCTAGTTGTGATGAGAGTCCACTCAGTAGGCGTATAGACTCGGTGCAGTTAATAATGACCTAACGAGCATCCGTTCAAATGAGCTTTTAATGGGTTTTGTCTACAGTACCTGCGGCTAAAAGAGAAGGACGGGGTGGAGGAGGTGGGAGTGGGGGGTGTAGAAAGATGGAGCCTAATTTAGAGAAGTGTAAAAACATAAGAAGGCTCATTGCACTTTTTTGTATTACACATGTTTGTAGTACATAACTTGTACTGACAGATAAACACCTATATCTGAACTTGAGGTAAATAATTTGACCTGTGAGTTTGATTTCTAACTTTGGAGTTAGATCTACTCTAGTTAAATCTAAACTTTCTCACTGAATTGAATGAGAATGTGTGTCCACACTTCTTACTGGTGGTGTAAATCATATCAGTTGGTGTGGAAATACAGTAATTGTATCATTTACAGCTTAAATTATTTGTTTTAAAACATTATCTAAAATATAGGATTAACATGTTCAACAATTCACTGTGGCCCTGGACTATAACTGTGTCTGGTATTTTTTAATATTAGTAGGTTTTTATCTGGAAGGACATCCGGTGTAAAAACATTGTGCATCGTCAGTTCGGTGGGAACTGATGATTCGCTGTGGCGAAACCTAACGTAGGTTTTCATTTTAATTATCTGTCAGAGTTTTGTCATTAAATCTTCAAATGGCAAGAGAATGTGTAGTTTTAGACGCTTGTTTTCAGAAATTTCTCAGTGAAGTGAAGAGCTTGGATACTTTTACTGAGCACATGAACGGTTTTAGCCTCGTGGGACATTTCATATAAATAAAAACAGAGTAAACAAACTTTCATATAGTTTTAACTACTGTAGTTTAGGTTTCATCTAGCATTATATCGGGGCAGTAGTTTTAAAATTCTCCCTTGGTGGTGAATTTAGAATATTGTGAGACAGGAAATAAATATCTCCAGGTTTTCCTCAGAGATATTTGTTTAACAGTACATGTTTTTTTTTCTTTACATTTCCTTAAGCCTTTTTCGTGAATGTGTTATGAATCTTCTATAGTTATTTATTATTCAGCAATAAGTTGAGGAAATCCAAAATAAACTTTTTAGGAGTCACTCTATTGAACAGCAGGGTCACATTTGATTTTTATTCCCACGTCTTAGTTTTATTCATAGAGTTTACTGTCTAAACACTGGCTGAGCATACATCAGTGATATTAGTTTATCAGTGTAGAAGCTTCTGCCCAAGATATGCCACAAAACCAATAATTGTCCATATGAGCATGAAGCAGATTTTTTCATCATGTCTTTTTCTGGCTGGCACCTGTCCACTCTTTAACTTATTGCTGAATAACAAATAACTATAGAAGATTCATAACACATTCACAAAAATGACTTAAGGAAATGTAAATAAAAAAGCCACTTATTGTTTTACAAATAGCTCTGAGGAAATTTTACCGCTTTTTGAAAGGTGCTAAGGTCACACATATGTCATTTAATTGACCCCAATCTGCTTTTACCTTTTGCTACTTTAGTCCTTCAGTAATCTCTAATCATTCCCAAATTGAATTATCACCCTCATTTAACATCCATAAGGGATTATATAGCTGTTAGGCTCCAGTTATAAAGCAAAACACACTGTACTGCGTACCTCTATGTATATAACAAACTTGACACATGTGTCATTTGACATATTTTTTCTGCTCATGTAATTACTGATGATGTGTTGCATGAATTACCTCAGGATTAATATTAGCCAAAGCCTGGGGAGAGAGAAAACGTTAGGCCTTGTTGATTGATGTGTTGACTGTGTAGTTGACAGAGCAGCAGACAAGCATTGAACTGTAAATACCCACATAACTGATATCACTCCATCGTGCAGTCTGGTGTCAGGGTTGAATTTCTTTTTCAGGATGCAGTGGTATCATTACTCATAGCTGTGTGGGTGAAGCTGTCTCCACAGGTGCTGTACCAATTGATGTAAAGGTCTGACTTTGAAGGGGTTTTGAGGGAGGAATTTACATTAAGTAAATCTTGATGTTGTGGCTGTTGATGTGTGTTTTTACACTTAAGGTTTAGGGCTTTGCTTCAGTGTAAATAAAACATCACGCTGTCTCACACCACCCTATTTTTCTTACCAACAGGGAAATCTCCTTCCAAATATATGTGTGTGTGTGTGTTTATTATAGTGTCTGCATATCAAACTTTACAATACCATGTTATTAAATCTGGCTGTGTTTGCTTTTGTGCCTTCAGAGTGCCGTGATGTGTTGTTGCCCATGATGCTGCGGGAGTTGAGCGGGGCACTGGCCAGTATGGCAGACGGGCCTCATGATGAAAGGAGAAACAGTTTGGAGCTGCTCAACAACATTCTGGAGGTCCTCAGCAGAGACAATGTGGTGAGACACACAATGACCCTTTATTGTAATAGACACACACACAGCCTGTTCACACTATTTATTTAACTGCATTCTGAGTCACTGGTTTAAAATAGGCAGTTGTGAATTATGCATTGAGAGGTGCAGCAACATGTGTAGAGAAAATAATGAGATTTGACAGCTTAGGCCATATGAGGATCTGATTAGGGTACAGCCACTTAATTAAGTGTAAATTTAACATTTGTACAGTAGGTCTTTAAACATACTTGGATTTAGCACAAATAATCCTGTCACAATCTTTACCAGAGACAAGATATCAAGTTCCTCATTCTTTCTCTCTATACACTGTCATCTCATTTCACTTATTTCTTTCCAAATTCTTTAATTTATACTTGCCCAGTGTAGTCTTAACCAGAATGTGAGTAGCATTCTCAGCCCTTTGTTCAACAAAAGCTCCCTCATCCTGATACCAGAAGCAAAATCAGCAGCAACACTTTGAGGTTATCTAGACACAATCTGCACATATAAAAATATCAGTAGGTCTGATTAAAATAAAGGTGAAATAACCAAGACAATAATAAACACTAGGTTGTTACAGCTGAGGCAGACCAATCAGCAGAGACTCAGGACTGACCTGTCAACCATCATTTGCTCTGAAACTACACAATGCCTCCATCTTACAAGAGTAAAAATGATCCAGTCCATTCCATTTTTATTATCATAGGATGAAGTTGAGCTACCCCTGAGCTCTGTGCCCCCCCCCCCAAGTAGTACAATACTTGTCTCCAGAACAGTGTGGTATAGCCTGGAGCTGTTTCGTCTTCAGTCTTCTGTTGTGCAGTGCAGCAGGCCTTCACCAATTACAATCTAATTGATTTTGGTTTCACTGGTGTTGCTGCATGGTAGTTAGTTAGAAACAAAATCCACTTAGGTCCCAAACTAAACACCTATTAACACACACACACACACACACACACACACACACACACACACACACACACACACACACAAACAAAAAAGTATGTTTTCATTCCTTGAGGGGACTTTACATCAACTTACATTCATTTCCTAGAGACTTATCCTAACCTTAGCCATAACCACTACTTGCCTAACACCTAACCCTTACCTTAACCTTAACCTAACCCTAACCTCACCCTAACCTTAAAGCATGTTGTCATCCTAAAATTCAGTGATTTGCATGGTGGGGACTGCACATACTGTAATATAGTTTAATACTATAAGGACCTTGGCTTCTGTTCATGTGTGACATGTTTATTTCATAGAATGCAGTTAAAGAGATGACGGTTTGATATTTTAAGGAGGGGGAACGTTGAAAACTGATGGAGGAAGTAAGGAAAACAACAGAAGCAGATACGGAAGAAGCACCACCCTGCATCTCTCTTTTCCTCTCAGGGTGGTACCTGATTAAGTTGTCATGCCAGAGGGAAACATTTTCAGAAAGAGAAATGGAGATGGAAAGAAGATGACGTGACATATTGAATTTATTAACCTGTGTGCGTGAACAATTGTGTGTGATAAAGGGAGGAAGACAGAGAGGAAGACAGAGAGATATGGCTCGCTTGAGCTTTCTCAGTTTTTTTCTTTCCCCTACCCCCAAAACAGTGACTTCTGTTTACTTTTCTACCATGATGCCAGTAGAGATAATAAACCAGCCTGGCTGGAGTTTGGAATAAATTAAAAGAGTATCGACTTCCACATGTTCGTTTCTGCAGGAGAGAGATGGAGTGTTGTGTCCCATCTCTTGTCTTCATGCTCTGAGATGGCTGTCGGAGAAAGTCTTTCCAGGAGACCAACATGTCTACAGTGAGCCAGAAAGAGTTAGGCCTATTTAGACTCAGCAGACACGTAACTACATGTGTGTATGAGTCTGAGGTAGTTTGAGATGAAAATGTTAGGCAAGATGATACAAACTTACAGTTGTTTATTTTGGCTGTGAGTCTTCCCCCTAATGTGGTTCATTCCTACCTGATTTTCATCAAGCCGTTCAAGTCATCTACCATCAGGCCAGCAGAGACACACACACAGCTTCACAGTGTGTGGCTCTGTAAATGTGCATATTTTACATATGTCTTTTGTTTTATGTGTATATTATTATTCAGATCCTTCCTCACTTGCGATCTTCACAGGTCATCAAACATAGCAAGCACTAAAATTTAAAATGTTACCTTATTTCAGTCCTTTTCCCTGATCATTTTCTGCATGTCCACTGCTAAATTAATACAGATACAAATTAGAAAAAAGGTTAAAAAAGAACTGGATAATATTGTGATAAAAGATTTGGTATTAATTTGGGATTTGACCATCTTATAGGTTTTTAAAACTGTTAAGAGATAATATTTTCTGGGCTTATTGGAGTGTTCTAGCTTAACCAGACAGTAAATGATTCTGGTTGGGTTGTCATATTTAGATTTTAAAATAGGTGTTTCTTAAAGCACCACACATTATATTATAATACTATTATGCTATATAATTTGATATATTGTGATAGTAGATGCCCATTTTTTACCTTAAGAAGTTGTTGCTAAAGACAGTTTGTAGATAGGTTTGGTGAATATTGTGTGAAAGCCTTCTGTTTATTTGGCCTGAACATTGCAGAGGTCATAAATATTATTCACCAATTGTATTTTTGTTTTGCTTTCAAAAGGTAAAATAACAAAAATGGCAGAATTAAGCATCACTTCCTGTGTGACAGCTCTATCGGAACACAGACGGCATATCCAATGTTAGTCAGTGTTCCAGTCTTAATGTGTAACACAACTTGGCCATGCAGATGACAAATAATTATGATATTTTAATTAGGAAACAGTTCATACTGATTGATTCAGGGCAAGTCTGAGCACAAAGACAGACTGTTAAATCCCCTTTGTTTTACTCTGGGCAGATGGAGAAAGAGAGCCAAGACAGAAGAAAAGTAGCTTCAAAGGGAATGATAAGAATAGGAAAGGAGGTCTACAGAGAAAGAAGAGCTCTGTAGCTGATTATCCCAATGCTCTTTTGAGGCTCATTTTCTGGAAAGTGAGCATGTTTTGCTGTAAATTTCCAATTCAGAAAACCCTCTTCTCCTTCCTTTTCATTTGATCATCCATCCATTCAGAACCCAGGTGAAGCTGTGGACGTGGTTGCTTTCACAGTGAGGAGCAAAATGGCTACACAAACAAAACCTGATGACTTAAGTTTTTCAGAGAAAAGGTTGTGAGATGCTCGGAAGCTGATTCCATGTTATGCCTGAGTTGAGTAGGATGGAAGCTGTACTGCGTTTGTGTGTGTTTACACCTCAAGAGATCTAACAATCTTTTCTTTATTTTGAATGTTGATCCTCAGTCTTCCCTTTGTTTTTCTCAGGGGGAAACATTTCAGCATATCCAGGACATTGTGGTGTCTCTTCTGAGAATCATCAACCAGACAGTCATCACAATGGGTCGAGAACACACACTCATTGTAAGTACAAGCAGCTGTTATATGCTGACCTTCTGCAGACAGATAAATCAAGCATTGCTGTACCTTCTCTCATGTCTCTTTTCTGTCTGTTGTTTAACATGGATTGGTAAAAAAAAAATCCAACTCTCCATCCACTCCTGTCTAATATACAGTTTTATGCTGAAACACAAAGTAAGTATGTCAATAGCAGTGCATTTTATTTAAAATACACACTTTTATAGTACTGTACATACAAGAGGAGGTTCAGGAAGAGAGGGGCATTGTGGGAGCTCACACATTGTTTTGACAGAGCTTATAAAAATGCAGGGGCAGGGTTTTTTGGGTATAGACTGGTTAATTAGTAAGTGTGGTATCATCCAGATTTCTAATCGGTGTCAACTTGTCAGCTAGAAGCAGCTGAAGTAGGCCCTTGTGAGATTAGTGGTTGTGCTCTGATCTGCTGAGATCTAAGCACTGTGCAAATGGTTTGTGTATCTCTCTGTGTGTGTGTGTGTGTGTGTGTGGCTCAAAGGTGTGTGTTTGCAGCGTAGTGTGTATTTTATTGAGTGAGTTTTTATTTGTAATAATAGATATGTCTGGTTAGAATATAGTTTGCTATGAAATGTGATTTCCTCCGCTGATTGTGTTATAAATTTATAGACATTGTTTATTAAGATTTCAATTTAAAATGGGATAATGTACCTTGACCTGGTAACAGATTTCATTCGTACATTCTGATACACTGGGCTGCCGTGTATGTTTTCACATTGGCTTTACATTGCTTATATTTAAAGTGAACATGGTAATGTGCCACGTCTTATTGGGGAATAACAAATATAAAATGCGTTTAGGTTTTTTGTTTAATTTTCTATGTAACTTAATCTATGTACACACCGTGAAAGTACAGCCGGCTGCAGCTGGTGTGCGCTAAATTACACGAAATCTTGTGGCTTCGGCCGCTTACATTTTCAGCAAAGCATTCCTCTGCACAGGTTATGCTCAACAGCTAGTTTCACTGTAATTCATACCGAATTTATTGGCGCCTTATTGGCTCTGATTTTGCAGATATCAATATATTTATACAACATTAATACAGGTGAGTTTTTAATAACTGGTCTACCCTTAGTTTTTACTGGTTCACACATGTACTGAATGCATACAGTATGCATGTATGTGGGAGTACCTGCTTGTGTTTTTGCGACTTTATTGTATGAATTAGTACCTGAAAGTGTTTCCCTCATTGTGCATGTGTTTATATGTTCATGTATGAAAGTCCTTTACAGCAAAACATTCCCATTTTGGATGGTAATAAAGGAGAGACTCAGTCACTCTGTCAGTCAAAGTTGACAAAATTTTTAATGATCTGACTCAGCCGGTTGGTCTTTGATCAGTTGCCTATCACACTGTCTCTCAACGCATTCTTAATACAATCTCAACTGTGCTCCCCAAAAACCCTGATATCCACCCTGTCACTTTGTTTTCAGAGAGCTCATCGGCTTGTTTTTCACTGAAATCCTCTTAGTGCTTCAGTTTTTGCTACATTCAGACGTTGGCTGCCAAGCCATCCAAAGAGACAGCATTCCAATTAGTTGTTTAAACTCCTTGGATTTCACAGTAGTTCTTATTCCAGTACTTATTGCTGTAATGTAGCCAAGACTGAAAATTTATTTCCATCTTGGCATAAATCCATTCATGTACTGTATCTGCTCATCTGTTCGGACAGCTACTCCGCCAAGTGCCAAACAGTATAACCGTTTGTCATCCAAAATGTCAGTGCTTCATCTTTATGTTACAGAATTGTTATTGGAAAGCTCTGTCCTCACTTTTAGTTAGGAGTTAATCATAAAGTATCTTTCTAAATGCTGGCTTCCACTGAGAGAAAATCGAGACAATCTCTTCCACAGTCTCTGCCCCAGACACTGCGAGGAAGGTCCAGCAGCTCCTTTGGTCCTCTTTTCTCTTTATCTAGCTGGTTCCTGGTGTATTTTGTCAGAGCTGAGGATGGGTTGCTGTTGAAAAAGTGCCATTTACAATACGGAGAAGCTGCTTGAAAAAATATGATTTTTTTTTTTTACAGCGCTTACAGCCACCAGAAACACTTCTTGCGGAGTTTCTTGACACGGGTTTTGGTGCTAGGGCAGCTGGAAGAGGAAGGGGCTGTGGTGGGCTTGGTCAGACTGGGTACAGGCACATCATAGTCCCCCTCCAGTGCCTTCATAACTCCCTGGAAGCGTCCCTCCTGCTGTCGGAAATCATGCTCCACACTGGAGAGGAGGAAGTAAGAGAAAGCAGTTGAAGGTGAAGGAGACAGGGATGAGGGAGTCAGCAGGAGCACAATTTAGAGCTTAGGGTAGTGACAAATCAAATTGCATTTATTTATATAGCTCATTTTTCATCAGCTGTGGCGGTAGAGAGAGAAAAAAAGAAGCAGACGGATGCGAGGACAAGTGGAGGTCCACTGAGAATACTTGCAAAATGCTGACAACACCTTAAAGAGAGCTTGTATCTACGCATAATGCGGTTTTATGGTGATGTAAAACTGTGCTATATTCTTAACTCAGATATATGCACCTTCATCACACATATTCTCACACATGACTCAACTCAGTGGTCATTTCACATCCATCTTCACGTCATGCATCAGTAGATCACGGCTTGTGAGATGTGAGAAGTGGCAGCAGAATGAAAAAGAGAGCAGGAAAAGAGAGGAGAGAAGGCCATTTGCAAAATGGAGGAGCTAAAGAAAGGAGAAAAGGGGAGCTCTGCTTTTCTGATGTGCTTAAAGCCGACCCTTTGCTTCTGTAAATTCTATGCTTCTATAAAGAAACTGACTCGTCTGGGAGTTTCAGAGATGGAAAAAAATGAAAGAAAGGCAAGCTGTAATAAAACAGGGCACAGAGGTCACTGCAGAATTAAGGAACGAAACAAAAAAGACAGAGGGAGGTAAAATAAGTGCCACCAGAGATGTAGAGAGGAGGGCAGAGAGGTCGTGTCTCCTTGAGAAAGAGCACAGGGATGGAGGGAGTGAGGGAATAGAGGAGGCATAAAAAGCTCGGGTGGGAAAAGAGGAATGGAGACGGTTGCCACGAATAAATAATAAAAAAAGATGTACTGTGACTACACATGCACACAGATATTGTTCACACAAACACACACACTCAAAATATCTAAAATGATAAAGTGTTGCACCTGCCTCACATGCAGTCAATTTGCAGTTTATCTTGTTTTAGAATGGAGGGCTTTTTTGGGGGCTCTCTTTGCCCGCACACTTCGCTAGGTTTCATCTTCTCCCTCTCTCAATCTTCTGTAACTACCTCTCTACCCATATCTACCTCTCTGTCACCATTGTTCATGGGATTATGGCACAACAGGAAAAGCTGCTGCACTTTATCCTGTCTGCATGTTGTCATCTATAACGTGTGTGACAGCGTGCTCTTGTTGCTTCTTATCTTCATGATAATGGGTCATGTGGTTAGACCTGTGGAATTTATGGTAAAGGTGCATGTTTTACATATGTGGAAGAATTTATACATATATTCTTTCTTTTCACTTATGCTGCATGCTCAGTTGAATGGACAAGTAGGAGAATGAAAAAATACCTTTAGATGTTGCAGTATGTGTATATCTGTGTGTTTATCTGTGTTTGAGCTGTTTAAACTTTGTGAGGAAAATATAGGGCCTGCTCTTCTCCCCCCATCTCTCATCTTACAGATTAATTAGGACTGACGATGACACAACATCTTCAGCCAACCAGCCCACATCAAAACTAGTTTTTAAATCGTTAGGATGGATGTTTCAGTCCCACACGTTTTTCACCATCTGCTTGTGTGGCTCTCTTCCCCTACTGTATCTCCCATCCTCTTTACCCAGAATCCCCTCTGAAAGGGACTGTCCACTCAAGCTAATGGACGTATTGAATGTCAGACTTTTCCCTATGTAATGTGTGTAATTTTGTAACAAACGTATACTGATGCAGCATATGAGAAGAAAAATGATCATGGATCAGATTCTGCATATTTGACCAAGTCATTAACATCCTCCCACATCAGCATGAACGATTTTTGTTTGCCAGTGTGTATGAGTGTGTGCATGCATATGAAATGCATGCAAATATTTGTCCTATAAAAGCTGTCTTTTTAGTTGGATTAATTAGCACATGCATACACTGTACATGATTATGTTTGTGTGCAAGATGAAACAAAGGGAAAGTGGAGCAGGAAAGAAAATCTCTGAGAAGAGAGTCAAGAGGGATTATAACAATGTAAGCAGCAATAGATAGACTCGATAAATTTGCCTGCTGTAGATGTGATGCTATGCACTAAACAGAATGTGTGTAAACAAATGGGTTCAGTCTGTGTTTTCCTGTCTTCATCTTTGTGTTACTTGTTTGTATATCTGTATAGATTGTATATATGGGTATGGGCAGTATTGAGTAGTTGACCATGTACAGTAGCTTTCTTTGTTCCTTGGCTAAGGGTCCTCCTATGTTAATTAAGATCAAGGGGAGGACAGAATGGGATGACGTGATAGGTAGTGTTGGAGCCAGGTGTGAGGAAATGCAGAGATGAACAACAGAGGGTTAGAAAGTAAAAATATAGGGTTAATGAAGAAGTGAACCAAATGTTTTTAGTACTTTGGGTGACTTGAAGAGATAAAAGCTCTGTAAATTATGTCTTTATCCCATGTGACCTGCAAGGGGGATTTATATATGATCGTAAACAAGCAGCTTTGGCTTCAAGCCTAGCTTTGTTTGAATTATGCGCACAAACATTTTGAATTAAAGAAAGCTTTGATGCTGAAATATTCTAGTTACAGCAAGTAAAACAATCCTTTCTGTTTGCGTGTTCTCCATGAAGCTAGTGTCTATGTGAAAACCCATGTGAGCAGTCTTGGAGGTTGGGTGGGAATGGGGCCCAGGTGATTATACCGTAGCTCTGGGCAACTGACAGATAGAATGAGGCACAGATGTACAGAGGAGACGCGTTTGATCGAAGCTAGAAATGACAGAAAGAGATATTGCA